TTATCGGCGTTAATTATGCTTTTTAGTCCACAAACTACATGAAGTTTATGTGGCTTTTTTGAAGGCGAGGGAGGTGATCTGCAAAAGGATCTAACCACAAGGTGTTGTAGTCCATAATCATGTCGATTTGAGCACCGAACTATGTCCAAATCTATTAGTATGGGACCAGGGCTTGGACAAAACTGGCTATTTTCAGGAGAAAAGGGTCCCGTAGTCCCAGTTGGCTGGCTTGAAGCTTCGACATGACTTTATTTCCCTTGCGGAAGACTATGCACTATACGTGGAAAATTGTATTTTAGAGATTTGTTTACCAAAGTCTTCTACCAGATTTGGTATATAGGAATTTTTTGTTTTGTTGTGGCAAACCCTTTAATTCTTGGTTGTTATGATTGTGTACAGTGAGCCAAAAGTCGCATTCAAAATTCTGGAAACTTGCAGGAAAATTAGGTATGTAACAGGTTAATAGCTACTTCATGTGCATATCCACATTAAATATTGTTTGATATCTTTCCTTAAGTTCATTTGATTGCAGTGCCAGAAATCAAGCACATCCAAGCGATAAAAGTGAGACAATATCCAGCAGTTCGACTTGTGAGACTCCTTTGCATGGAAATTGTGAAGTTGGATTACTCAAAAGCTGCATCAATATTTAGAGATGCACTGGAAGTTGCAGCAATTACTGGGGTTCGTGAAGTTGTTGAAGAGATTTTATGTTCGTGTCCTGGTGCAATTTATCTTAAATATGATCTTGACCGGTCGATTTTCCATCTTGCAATTGCGAATCGTCGTGCAAATATTTTCAATCTGATTTATCAATTCAATGAATTTAGCAACCTATTGATCTCCAGAGTAGATAAGTCAAAGAATAATTGTCTACATTTGGCTGGAATTTGGAAAGTCAACAGAAACTGAATCTCAGAGATCATGCCGCAGGTGCAGCTTTTCAGATGCAGCTTGAATTACAGTGGTTTAAGGTAACAATGAATCTCTTCTATACTAGGAAAATAATATATTTCATGTCGTTTCCATTGTGCTTAAGCAAGAATTGCCCTACTTGGCGTAGCTTGGTTAACAACACCAGGTAGATGTGATTGTTGAACAATACACCTTAGTGGTTGGTGTCTATCCTCCTATGCTGATATGCTAAGACTCAGGTTACTGGATAATAAGAGCAGATGAAAAGTTAGAGAGAAGCTTTATCCTCTCACAACACTAGGAGCAGGATTTGAATATTTGATCTAATCCACGCTCAATACTAAGAATAGGTACTAGGATTCTCAGGTAAAGTAATCTGGAATCCCAACATCATTACTAAAGTAGATAAGAGCTTACAGGCTTCATTCAACATGTCCTTAATATGTATCTTCAAGGCTTCAGATCTTCGTTGTCCTGAAACTCGCATAGTAGATTCATATTAACAAATCCATCATACAAATTTAGGTAGTATCTTAAATCACTTATGGCTCATGCTTCTGTTCCTCTTAGCATAAATATCGAACGTCAGCTAGTTCATATCTCCATAGCAATGAAAACAAACATATTATATTGATGTAGGCAAGGTAAATAAACTTAAACTTTGACAAAACAATACCATCTAGTGCATTTAACACTTGCCTATGACTTCAAACCAATTGATTCACATATTTTCAAAACATAGTTAACATCATTCGAGGTGGGTTTAAACAAGTATGACACCACTCTTTGTGAACAGGGTTTTATTAAATGATAGCATATGATGAACTTAATCCATATACTTTTAATGGCCTAAGATACTACACATAATTCTAAAAATAACCTTCCTCTTATTGACTTTGCATGAAGACACAGAGTACACACACACACACACACACATGCACATACACTTTTTGCATGAAAACTACAAACGCACTGAGTTTATTACAATCACAATGCACATGCTGCAAGCAGTTAGATTAATTGAGTTCTTCTGCCTTCAGAAACATGTATATGGTTGAAGTAATTAGTAATGTTTCTCTATATATTGTGTGTCTCAGTTGGACTAAGTTGTTATAATACTGAATTTCAATGACAAATCCTTATATATGAGTTCATTATCTGATTGCAACAATTCTCCTTCCAATCTCACAACAACCACTACTTTTTGTGCCATCACAAATCAACAGTCAATCCAACCACTCCAGATCTCCTCAGCTATGACTCCACCAACAAAAAAACCATCACACCCCACCTTTTTTCGTGGATGTTTATAAAAAACCTAGCCATAAAAAATAACAAATTAAATCATAGACAATCACATGTATGACGTTGACTTTTTCTCGGAGACAAATGTCAGATTTTAAGATTCAAATCTTATCAAAACCTTCACATTTCTGTCTTTCAATCAATACATCACTCTAGTGAGACCAATCTAAGCCCAACAGAATAGCCAACTAATTAATAAAAGTTGAGATCGAGGTCAGTGTTAGAGTAATCTAGTATATTAGCATTAGGGGTAGATTAGTCATTTATATTACTATGTTTCGCCCTAGTATAAATTCGTTGTAAAACAGACGTGGTGATAATTCAATCAATATATTTTTCTTTCTTTGATAAACATTAACTTGGTATCAGAGCCTTAATCCCTAATTCCAAAAGAAGAGTCCTAATCACCGGTAGAGAGGATAGATTTATGTGCCCTAATCAACTGTGAAGTATACTTGAACAGAAGTAAGGAGAGAGAGTACGTCTCTAAGATGCCGTCGGAGACGTGAGAGGGATGCCTGAAAGTGTGCCGTCCGTCAGAGTCCAGGAGAGAGAAAGTACGTCTGAACGAGCCTTTCTTGCTTCTACTGTGAACGACTGAACGAGTCGCGAATAGTGAATGTTTCTACTGACTAAACAACTGTGATCGACTGGTTTCTTGCTTCTACCGAATGTTCTCTTCTTGCTTCTACCGACTGAACAAATGTGATCGACTGGTTTCTTGCTTCTACCGACTACCCTCTGGTTTCTTGCCCTCTGGTAAGTTTGTGGTCTGTTTTGAGGATTGCTTGTGATCGGCTGATTGATTATTGCTTCTACTGTGCATTGGTTCTTGTTTTTGTTTTCTTTTGGTCGGCTGGTTTTGCTGGTTGCTTGATTTTGTTGCTGGGTTGCCGTGTTTATTGTAGTTTTTTTTGCTTTACTTTGCTGAGACTTATTTTACTGAAACTTCTTGATAACATTATGGCAAGTGGACATCGGATTCTCTCCAAGCTATTAGTATCAAATTAAATGGTGAAAATTATGTATATTGGTCTTATGTTATGAAGAATTTTCTGTTGGGAAAAGAGATGAGGAGTTATGTTAATGGTGCTTTGCAAGCTCCAATAGATTCGAAGGCAGAGAGATATGTTGAATTAAAGAATATCTGGGAAGTCAACAATGCTAAAATTATCACTTGGATTAACAACTCAATTGATCAGACCATTGGTGTGCATTTGGCTAAGTTTAACACAGCCAAACAAATTTGGGATTATTTAGCTACATTGTTTGTTCAGTCCAATTTTGTAATGAGATATCAGCTTGAGCATGAAATTCGAGCTGCACGTCAGGGTGATAAGACCATATAGGAGTTCTACTCGGTTATGACTGGATTTTGGGATCAGTTAGCACTTGCTGAGCCAGCTGAATTGAGTACTCATATGGTATATCATATATTTAGGGAGGAACAACGATTGGTACAGTTTTTGATGGCTCTTACAGTCGATGCAATAGTGAATGAGCTTCTGGCTGAAGAAGTCCGTCTTAAGACTCTTTTTGGAAAGGGTCTTCTTCCATTGCCTAATCAGACTGTACTAGTTGTACCACCCAGAGGGAGTCCTCATTCACAGACTAAATATCGGGGTCGAGCTACTTCATATGAGTGTAGTTTTTGTCATGAGAAGGGTCACTAGAAGGCTCAATGTCCTAAATTAGTGAACAAGAATGCCAAAGGGACCTTACAGTAGCCATTTAGGCCCAAAGATTGTCATACAGCCGCAGTTACTTCACCAGTGGATGAGACATTTCCATCAGCTCCCAGTATGACTATGATAGCTGATCAGTTGCAGAAGCTTCTTTCCATCAACCAGGTGTCCTATCAGTTTCTCCTTCCACAGGTTCATTTACTGCAGGACCTTCAAGTATCTCTCGAATTGCCTGGGTCTTTGACTCAGGAGCCACCCATTATATGACTAGTAATCCTTCCTTATTTGTTTCTATTGTTTCCCCTCCCTCTATATCTGTCCTTGCAGCCAATGGCACCCAAATGTCTTTGGCTGATGTTGGAACCATCTTTTCTTCCCTGCTTACACTCTTGATGTTTACTATATTACTCAACTTACTTTAAACTTAATATTTGTTAGTCAGTTGTTTGATTCGGGGTTCTTAGTTCATTTTTCTTCTACTAGTTGTGTTGTGCAGGATCCATGGTCCAAGAAGCTGATTGAGACAGGCTATAGAAATGGAGGGCTATATGTGTTGGATGAATTTCATGTCCTTGAAGTTGTTGCATCTACTGTTGATTTATCTTCTTTTCAATTGAGACCAAAATCGTATAGTTTTTATTTATGGCATTCTCGTTTAGGTCATGTTTCTCATTCTCGTTTAAACTTTTTAGCTTCTACTGGTAGTTTGGAGTTTAGAGTGTCATGATATTTTAGATTGTAGTGGCTGCAAGTTGGCTAAATTTACTGCATTACCTTTCAATAAAAGTAATTCTCGTTCCCTTACACCTTTTGATCCTGTACATTATGATATTTGGAGACCAGCTCCTATTCCTACTAAATGAGGGTCTAGATATTATGTTTCTTTTATTGATGATCATATCAGATATTGTTGGGTGTATCTAATGACGCGTAGGTCTGAATTTTTTTCCATTTTCTCTACCTTTCGTGCTATGGTGCGTACTCAATATTCTTCTATCATCAAATGTTTTTGCTGTGATCAAGGTGGAGAATATTCTTTTAGTGCTTTTTGTGATTTGTTGAAATCTGATGGTATTGTTTTTCAGTCTTCTTGTATAGACACATCTGCTCAGAATGGAGTGGCAGAACAAAAGCATCATCACATTATTGAGACAGCTCGTTCTCTGTTGTTGTCATCCAGTGTCCCTAGCTCTTTTTGGGGAGAAGCAGTTGTTACAACAGTTCATTTTATTAATTGCATTCCTACAATCCTCAATTCTGGTGTCTCACCTTTTGAAAAACTATGTGGTAAAATACCTGACTATTTCTCCTTACGTGTGTTTGGATGTACATGTTTTGTTCTACTACGTAGTGTTAATCGTACAAAACTTTCAGCTTGTTTAGCCTTATATGTTTTTCTTGGTTACGGTGAGAGACAAAAGGGATTTCGGTGTTATGATCCTAGTACACAGAAACTCTATGTTTCTCGTCATGTTGTTTTTATGGAACATATTATTTTTTTCTCTATTTCATCTAGTTCTTCGTCTCTGCATAAATTTGATCTTATCTATCTTGATCCCTTTTCCTCTAATGTTTCTCTTGATTCCTATGTTGGTGATATGACTGTGGCTGATCTTCCCTCTTCTTCTTCTTCTTCTTCTTCTTTTTTGCTTGATTTGTCTGGTACCCGTCCCCCGATGGTGCATACTCATGTTCGCAGGACTCCCACTGTATCCTCTACAGATGTTGTGCCTTCATCTGCACCTCTTGGCTCCCAATCAATTTCTGAAACCGTGGATCACACTCCCCGTTACCTTCAGCGCACTCGGAAGTGTCTTGATTGGTTTGGTTGGTCCAACTCTTGCTATTCCTCTGCTTTTTGTTCTTTCCTGACTTCTATACATTCTTTGTCTGAACCAACCTCCTATAAGGAAGCTATACTTGATCCTCTTTGGCAACAGGTTATGGATGAGGAGCTTTCTGCGTTACATAAGACTCGAGCTTGGGAATTGATGTCTTTACCTCCTG